TGCATAATGAGACTTCCCTTACCAGGAGGTCACTGATTGTGTGTTGGGTCACAGAACAACCCTGGATCCTTCTTTAGCCTTTTTTATTTCTCCCCTAGTTGGTACTTTAAACTATTATTACAATGTCAGTGGAAAAGATCACGGATGGGCTAGCAGCTGCTCTCTTGGTCTCGTTTCATACACCCCCCCCCTCATGGGCCTCATGTTGTTTCTTTTTTGTTTTTCTCCTAAGGGTGACAGAAATTTATGGAGGCAAATTGGAGTTTCTGATCAATTTAATTGGGCCCTTTTTCCCCACAATGTAAAAGCTACTCAAATAGGCAGTTGGGATTTTCAGATTTTGGTTTGAAGAAACCTTTGAAACTATGAGTTCATTCCTGTAGGAGGGGGTCAGACTTTACAGATTGGCAGAATAAAATCCTCCATTACTTTGAAAGCTGCGTCATTATTTAGTCTGTTATGGAGTTGCTCACTTGCATATATATTTTTTAAGGAGATAGTTTAGGTAATGTGGTGCAGACAGTAGAGCTTTCCATTTCTTTTGCTGCCAAACTGAGAGTTTAAGACATGGCGGCTGCTCATGAGAATTTCTCCCTCTGCCTATTAATTTCAGGAAAGACTTGTCCAGCCGTATTGACCCCGGCCTCAGGGTGAAGGAGCTCGGGGGTTTATACATCAGTTTTGATGGCAGCAAATCAAAACCTGTCTCCAGCTCACTGCAAAAGCTGAAGGAGAAGAAGAGCCATGATGAGGTAAATTACCAATTAGATTTTTCATCCTTTGTTTCTCAGAAAATGAGCTGAGGGGCAGAATGAATAATGAACTAAGTATTAGTTTGGGATTTTAGATTCTTTGTTCGTTTCTTTCTCTTGTCCACAGATAATGAAGAAAAGTGTGATCGGACCGGACTTTGAGAAGAAGGATGCTGTGCCTCCTTACAGTGAATCGAAACAGGCTTTAAAGTTAAAACGCAGAGTAAGTTAAAGCCACAATCCTTTATAGTTACCGTTTTTTATTTCTTGCTGACCCTTTTACAAATTGAGTCCCCCCCGTCCCTCAGTGAGGTCTAGAAGCACTATCTATATTCAGCCATTCAGCAAAGATCCTGCTACATGGCTGTACGTCTTATTTTGACATTTGACCAATTAGATGAGCGCTGTAACAATATATTACCTACTGTAAATTAAGCTTGAAAAAAAAAGTTAAGTCAAGAAAAAAAGGTAAAAAGCTAATTTAAAAGTTGAAAAGTAAAGTTAAAAAAGTTAATAAGCCTAGTTAACAATTATATTTAGGTTTATAAACTAAAAAATGTAAGTGCCAGTATCAGCATTAATGCCTCTAAGGTTATGTTGTACCAAAAAAAATGTTTCTTTCACTCTTTCTTTCTTTTAGAAGCACTTTTGCATTTTTACTTAAAGGGATAGTTCGGTATTTTTGACATGAATCTGTATGGCATCCCGATCACCAGCGGCATGCAATCACACTGACTTACCCCTGGCAGCGTCCTGTGAGCAGAGTTATCGTCCAGTTTTGGTCAAGCCGAAAGTAGTCCTGCAGGTTTTTAGGAACAGCGAAATAAAACGTTTCTCTTCCCAAAACATTATGTGTCCAAAAGAGTGATATTTTCGCATCCCAAAAACATTGTAGTGGAAAAAGTCACACGTCGTTATCAATTGGTCCTATTTTCTCTCTGTTCGTATCAGTGGGCGCCGTCATTCAGACAGCGAGCCCAACAACAGCCATGTCTCCTTCCGCGGCAGAGGGACGATAACTCTGCTCACAGGACGCTGCCAGGGGTAAGTCAGTGTGATTGCATGCCGCTGGTGATCGAGATGCCATACAGATTCATGTCAAAAATACCGAACTATCCCTTTAATATATTCGGGCAAGTGGGCGTTTCTTGTTATTACATTGACATTCATTTTTGCCATCAAAATATCCATATTATTTTTAATGTTACAAAGGTAATAAGGTCTATAATGGGTCTTGTCATAACATTATTGGCTTAAAATTTTGATTTTCCAAGTATTTCACTGAATTCCTTATTAAGGGTTAACTATTTGTACAACCTCAGCATCAGCAAAGCTTCTTCGATATTTCTCTTTTTTTAGGCAGAGAGGGAGAAATCAACAGGAGACGGTTGGTTCAATATGAAGGCTCCAGAGATTTCCCAGGAATTGAAAGGGGACCTTAAGCTTCTGAAGATGAGGGGGTCCCTGGATCCCAAGAGGTTCTACAAGAAGAATGACAGAGATGGGTTCCCCAAATATTTCCAGGTTGATGACACAGTTCACCTTATGATTATCTTGTTGTACATTGCAGTCTTTTGAAATTTCATGCCTGATGCCTCTGTTTTATTGCATCCCTTATTCTACATGACTGACCCAGATGGGCACAGTGGTGGACAGCCCGGCTGACTTCTATCATTCCCGGATTCCCAAGAAGGAGAGGAAGAGAACCATGGTGGAGGAGCTGCTGAATGATGCCGAGTTCAGACTGTAAGTTAAACATATAAAGAGTTAGCATTCTGTAAGATAAGAATTTAACAGTTTGTTCTGTGTAAATTGTTTTACACTAAATGTTTTTATTACAGTGGTATAATCTGAGTTAAAACTGTGGAAACATCATGTAGGGCTGGAGTCCAGCTAATCGGCCACTTCAGTTCTGATGATTTGTGAAAATTAGCAGTGTGTGATTTCAGATAAACTGTTTAATTTGATTTGGTCCTATGTTGTGGGTCAGCATTCTAGTGAAACATAAAACCCCATTTACACTACCTTTTTAAAACCATGCCAGAACAATCTGAACACGGTAACCGAGAAAACTGAGTGTAAATTGGATGCAACTGACCTGGTCTGTTCCAGACACATTGAACTGCCCAAAATCTAGAACTAGTTCAACAGGAGGACTCAGCGCGGTTCATCTGTGGGGCAGTAGAGGTTACATCCAGTTTGATCAGTTCCTACCAGCAGAGTTTGTGTTCAAAAACATCCTGGTTGTCCAAGCTGTGCTCTGCTAGAGCTTTGCAAAAGAAACGGGGCCAAATCATCACTGATCCTTTTCCACATATCCAGTCTCTGTTTCACACCAAACTGTGGTTCTTGCTTTTGAAACGACCAAAACGATTTATTTGTTAAAAACAAATTTTCCCATTTAAGGTTCTGGTAGTTGTAATTGGGTCAGTAAACATTTTTTTGACATGCCTTTTATACATTTGGCATTTAGACAGCCTCTAAGGGTTGTTATGGAGATGTGGTGACCTCATAAGGCCATTCCTCCTTTTAAGGGGAGAGCCAAACTGAAGCCCCCTCTGCTTCCTGTCAGGTGTCATCTTTGAACTGGACTATCCCGTGGAGCGTTTTCATAGAAGCCTTTTTGAACAAACTGCATTAAGATCAGTAATTGATTGAGCTTGATTGGTGCTGGTCTAGCTTTACTTGTCACAGTTCTTGGTTTGCATTAATCCAGTGTTTATATTGGTCCCAGTATTTAATAGTGTTTCACCAATACCAGTATCGGGCGGGGCCCGATCCAGCACTAAAATGTAGGCATCGGTATCTGCGAGTACCAACAAATAGGGCACCGATACCATTTTGAGAGCAAAAAGTTTATTCAACTATTGTCATCCATTCCAGGTAGGCAATAAAAAGTTCTACTGGATTCACTGTTTTAGTCTTTTTCTTGCTTTACAAAGGTAGGCAGCATCTTGACAAAGCCATGATGGCAATTATTTTACATCCAAGTAGTATGCAGCTCTTCATATATACACACACACAGGCGCATCAATTTCAAACAGATGGTATCGGCCAAAACTGCACAGTCATGTAACGTTATCGGGGCCAAAAAATGGCATCGGCGCGTTATTGGGGAAAATGGGTCTAATCCACAGGGGCAGATTCATTCAGTCTATTTCTATAATAAATTTAAGTCGGGTTATAAATCTATGGAATAACAGATTTATCTGCTCTTTATGGGCATTAGCGGGATTAATCAATTTATGAAATACAATTAATATATTGATTAATCTTTTTTAATACTTATTAGGGCTGAACTATTTTGCCAAAAATTTAAACTGTAATTATTTCCAACCAATAATATGATATAGTTTAGATTTTCCTTTGCACTAAGCACGAGCTTTTAGATGTTTCACTCCAAGATTTTTTCATTATCTTGAAAGCTTGCTTGTTCAATGTCCATCATTGCAGAACTTTACTGTAACCTGAAAGGCGCTCACTTCTACTTGCATGCATAGATCTGTGTGCTCACTGGAAACTCTTTCCTTTCTACTTTAAAGTTATTACTGCAAACTAAAGTGCTGGACTGAAAATTAAAAAAAAAAAGTCTCCTAGTCTTCTTAAATGTCTGAAATTGACTTCTGCAATTTGAAAATTTTGTTTTGTTAAATTTTGCAATTGCGATTAAAAATCAGCCCATTTCATGTTAAAATTCAGGGAGCTATAAATATATATATATATATATTTATTTTATAGCCTCTTACAATTATTCTCTGCCTATATATACCATTTATAGTCTATGCATACATAGGTTCTGTACATATGTAAATAAATAAAATTTATATCTTGTGTATCACTTCTGGATGGATGCAAACTACATTTCGTTGCTTGTACTTGTTACAGTTTAACGAAAATAAGTTGAATTCTATATGAATTCAAATTTTGGTGATTACTTTCAGTCTATATGGATTGTTAGGGGAGGCTGTCAGTACTATGTGAAAACAACTGTGGCCTTTCTTTATTACCGTATGTATTTGTTTATTTTGCACGTTTATTTTGCTGATGAATGTGGAGGTTTCTCTAAGTGGTTGTTTCTTGTGTCAAGTAATTGTAGAAATTAAGTTAATCCCTTAATTTCCCGTTGGACCTTTGTTGAGAAACATCCTCTTTTTAAAGCCCATTAGAAGCTATTAGTAGGTGAAGTGCAGTGAATTAGTTTCTCTAATGGTCAAAGATTAATAGGTAAACAAAACGAGATCCATCCTGTGAATATAAAGTGACATTTTATTGCTGTTCAGACTTGGATTCAAATAAACAAAAATAAAAATGTATTTTCTCTTTCCAGAAAAAACAAAAAGAAGTACCAGCAAATTATTGCGGAGAAAGCAGCACTAACAGCTGGGAAGAGGAACAAGAAGAAGAAATTCCATAAGAAGTGAGGATGTGGTGAACCTCCATCATAGACGCTGATATTCAGTCCTTCATCATGAGGTCCCTCGTTGAAGAGGACGATGAACGTATCGACGGCGAGGCACTAAGCCGCTGTGGCTCCTGATCTTTGAAGACGAGATGATTCCATAACTCTGTACAGTCATCAATAAATAGGCCTTCATTTTGTCACCTGGGTTCATTTTTTAAAACATAAGACATTTCAAAATGTATACCTAAAATCTAAATAATTTTGCCTAAAAAGATTCTGGTGATTAAAATGAAACTTAAAAGTATCGATTCTATTTGAATATAATGGTCACTGAGCTGCAGAATAAAAGAGAAAAAAAAAAGTGTTCTCAGATTGACTGGAGTTTTTATTTTAAGACCTTTTAATTTTGTGACCTAAGTAATACAGGAATCTGTGCAGCAGTCAAACTATTATTACCGGTACTGCTGTTGGTCCAGATGTTCCATTATTTTTGTCGCTTTATGTAAATCGGGTTTAATTCGGTGTTAAAGTGAAGAGAGGTCACATCATGATTAGCTGCGATAAACACCTGAACAGGAGAACTACACGCCATCCATTCATGTAACACTTATAAAGATGAATGTTTTTATTTCAGTGGCGTCTGAGTCTTTGTGTCATCTGCTCTTTTAATTCAGGATTACTTTTGTTCCTTTTTTTTTCTCGTTTAAATCTCTTCAGTCTTTAGCTCAGGGCTCCCAGCAGTAGCTCTTGGCTATCGTCATGCCTCTTTTGTGTTACGAGGCGAGCCCTCAACAGCTGCAGCTTACATCCTCCACGTCTCCTTCCCACACATGCAAAGCGGTGCTTCTGTATACCCGAGCCAGTTTAGTAAATGCCTTCAGCAAAAACAGAAAAAAAAAACAGCTCTATTTGGTTTGCACAGCCATTAGAGAACAGAGAATGGGTGGGAGGAAAAAGAAATGGCCTTTGTGTTCTCCAGATGTTTAAAACATGAACTGGAATAAAAGGAACATTTGAGAGATGGTTTGATTTCTATTAAAAAGGTGCAATTAAGAATTAATACTTTTTAGCCCAAGAGACCTTATTGGGAAAACAATTGATGTCTTAATAAACAATTATGTATTAAGGGAGTAAAAACGCTCATGCAGTGAATTAAAAGTCGCAGCTCCTTCTGGGGTCCCAGCTGGTTTTGTGTGTCTGCAGAATCTTCTGGACCCGGCTATGGATCTGCTCCCAGTAGGACGGACCAGGCTGCAGTCTGAGAAAGACCAAAGAATATCTTGATCACATTTTCATCCACTATGAGGGCTAGTGAGATAAAACAGAAAGATGGATTGTTTTAAATAATGCATGTTGGTGAACTAAGCTGTACGTTTCTTTTATTCATCGTCTATATCTGCTCGTCTCTGAAAGGTGGATTTGCATGTTTTCTAAACCATGACGAGGCTTTTATTGGGCTTATCTATAAAAGCTTGGAGGTCAACGCTTCTCCAGACATTTTGAATTGAGAAAGCTTGCTGGATGAGAAGCGAAACATCTTCAAACTTGGAAAACAAAGTCTAGTGGTTTGTTTTGAACTTTTTTGGACTGAACATCGATTGATCAGTGAGCAAAAACCCTACTTCTAACCCTCATACTGAGTGACCATTAACCGTCTCTCTACTTAGCAGATGTTTCTATATCACAAGGATAATAATTAAACTTTATAGATCTTACATTGGAGAAATTTACCTCTAAATTTATCCCCCTCCCCCTTGGGGAGCAGTGGGCTGCCATTGTGGGGCGCCTGGGGAGCAATGGTCTTGCTCAGAGACACAAAGTGGCAATCTGTGGGAGTGGGTTTCAAACTCACAACCTCAGGATTCCAAGTTCTATGCCCTAACTACTAGGCTGCCACTCCCCCAATATGGAAACATATTCCAGGAAATTACAACTTTTCATATGCTCTTTTGTACTATATACAGTCTTTTTATGTTGTTTGTTGTATTTTTATCTTTAATGGCATCTTGCTTTAACTCTACATCAGAAACCAGGAACCAGAATGTCCCTGAAGGAGTAATCCCAAGGGATAAATAAAGTTGGATCTCAGTCTAAGTCATGATTTTAGGACACTAGAAGGAATCGAGTAGCCAGAGACAAGTCCTGCATGCTCTGAGAAAACATAAAAACCCCATGCAGAGAGATCCAGGCTGGGATTTGACCAAGTTACCAAGCAGCCAGCATAATCTACCTGGAATCCTCTGAATCAATAACCTAACCAAGAGTATCCTCTAAGCTGCAGGCTTTATTACTCTGCTACTCTCTTAATAATGTCGTTATTAGAGCTTGATGATAAGTTAAGTAATTTCTTTATAACTGGTTGTCTTACAGCAGAGAGACATCTATAAAAATCCTGGAGGTAAGTAACAGACATCTGAGTCCATCGTGGTTTCTGGGTTCTTCAAAGTAAAGCCCCCTGAAGCCCTAAGAAATGTGTTTTTAACCCTTTCCAGACAGAATTTTGTTTTTCTTTATATCAGAACACAACTATCTAAACAAGGTTTACTCTTTTCAAAGATACTCAAATTTACTTCGACTGATTTCTATGATGTGAAAACATACACTATATTTCTGTAATGTTACTTGTGTCCACTAGTCTGCGCTGCAACCAAACTTGTGAGCGATGATGGTGAGATCAAACCCCAACACTTCAGGTCTTTATCAAAAATAATGTTCCCTTTTTTTTTGTCTAAATAATTCAAATTTTTCCTTATAAAAATAATTTAACAATAGTTTATTTTTCATCTAAACAAATGACCAACAGAATGGGGCACAATAATTCATAGGTTTTCTCCGAGAAGTCAGGACACAAAAGGTTGCGGTGATAAAAACAGATCCTTCTTTATTGCCTCTCATCCACGTCCATTTGTCGGTACTGCAGGGGTGATAACTGACAGATTGACTGGTGTCTCGTCCTCGCTGGCACTGCTGGAACAGGAGCTTTTCATTTGTAATCAGATAAACTCAGTACCTGCTTCAAAAAGTCATCAAGGACAAATCATCCTGAGACATGAATAGACTGAGACTCAGAGGCTTAGAGGGCAAAAAGCTTCCACTGGCATCTGTCATTTTCTTTATAGACCAGAGATTGGTGAGAAAGACGTGCCCCCTTCCCTGTCAGAGGGAATCTACAAAGGCCAAGTCTAATCTCCCACCCAGCAAATCCTGCAGTGCTTCCAGATGAGAGAAAAGTATCATTCATTTCCCACAATTTACTTTGCAGTTTAGGATTGTTTATTGATTTTAATGTTTACTTATGGACTGAACAAAGCAGAGCAAACAAACAGAACGGGACATCGGTTCTATCAGCGCGCTCAGCTCACATCTCCTGTGATTGATGACAAGGTCTCTCCGAACGTATTAAAGTGTGCATCGGGTCAAATACATCAGTCTCAAGCAGAAACACAAATCAATACCATTTCCTCTTTGTTTACCCTTCTCGCTGCCTTCTTTGTCAGTAATGACCAAACATGACAAGACATCAGCTTCTGTAATTTAAAAGGTGGAGGGGAATTCATGCCTCCCGTCGAGTGTGATCAAAATTAAAGATTAGATGTGTATGTACACAAACACACACACACACACAGATCTGCCCGGCGGCAGCGGCGGCGCCACCGTATGCAGACACCTCTTGGGATTTCCATATATTTGCCGTACATGGCAATTAAGAACTCATACGGGTGCCAGTTTTGGTTTAGAGATCTTCTAGGCAAACACAAACAGCGAGCACAGACGGATCTCCACAAATTCGGGACAAACATCAGGAAGAAAAATGAGGATTATGGCGGCTCTGGCTTCGGTGTGACAATGAGAACAGTTGGACTCTTTTGCAGCAAACATCCTCAGTTTATGGAAATATTTTTTCACATCTATCATTTAATCACAAATAACTGAATACAAGTAACTCCTTCCATTTTAAATATAATTGGGTTTCTTTTTCATTATGTTCTGTATCACTACAGCTTGAATTATTATATTTCCAACTCCCGTGATAATTAGTTAAAAATAACCTGAATGATAGAACTGTAACTAATATACAGTCGTATGTTTACATTATCACTGCTGCTTGCCTTTATCACGGCTATCACTGCACTTTAAAAAATGAAAATGCCTTAGCTGTACTGAACGATATTTATTTTTGTATACACTCTGAGTACAAAATGATAATGAAATCTGTTTAGGTCTAGTTAAGTCTCAAATACACGAATCACCATTAGCTCTCTGGCTGCTTTTGGTTTTTGCAACATGTTAAGAGTGAACCAAAGATGCATTCATTTGGGCAAATTCTTCCATGTTGAAAAGGTTTAATAAAATGTGGAAACCCTGTCAGGAGAAGGGATTTACCTGTCTCTAAGGGAGCAGCTGCTGACATTCAGAAGCTGTCCTGATTCTGTCCTGGCCAGGCTGGAGCGAACTGATGCAGACCCCCTCACTGGGCTTTTGATCTGGGGTTGTTGTTGGGATCTTATCTCTGGAGACGCCTGAACTCTCACTGAAGCTGATTCTATCTGGAAAAGGTAAAAAAAAAAAAAAGATTCTGACAGTTTCAACCTTAAAACTTAAAAAAGAAAAATATGTATGCCGTTCTGCAAAAAAAATATATTTTAAAGTCATCTATATCCAGGCTTTCATTATTGATAAGTTGGCAATGTTTCAGAATGTCTAAGCTAGGAATGTCATGATAGTCAAAAAAAACAAAACAAAACTGATAACCAGGAAAATATTTAATACTCAATTTATTTTTTAAATACCTTGGGGATAAAAATAATGGAAAATAATATAAGTCAAAAAATATTTTCATTAAGATAAGAAACTCATGTAGACATGTGACTTGCTTTCTCAACAGATTCATAGATGTGTTCAAATAAATACAAAATAAATCTAAGAAATAATAAATATAAGACAATTTAACAATCTTTTAACGTGTCTTTTAAAGTATAAAGCAAACAACACTTGTCTTAAAAAGTGCATAGTCAGGTAATGTCCTTTTTGAGCCTAAATAGAACTCCAGCACCCTGTGTAATGTGCAGATGTAAACAGAGCGGCGCCATCTGATGGCAGTACCACAAAACTAGGGCTGCGACTAACAATCATTTTGCTAATCGAATAATCTGTCAATTATTTTTCTATTATTAACATTGGTTTCAAAAATGTAATTGGTAGCAAAAGGTTAATTAAATAAATTTTTTTTACAGAACCAGAACCAGGTGAAACCAAAACTTTCCACTTGAGGAGTTCTGGATAGAGCATATTGACGGACTGAGTTTTTTTTTTTTTATCTTAAATGCAAATGTTTATATATATATATTTTTTTTTTACAATTTTGATATTATTACTGCTCTAAGAGGGTCACTCTCAGCTAAAGGCATGTTTAAGAGTCTTTATACTCCAGGAGTACTGCCTTAGTTGACGATTATCTAAATAATCGAGTTGTCATGATTCATCCAATTAATTATTTCAGCCCCAAACAGACCTTTTAGAAAGCCAAAAAAGCAATGCCTTGCAGTAAAGCAATTAACAGCTCAGAAAAATTTTAAAGATACTCCACTCTTATCTCCCTTGGAATCAAATATTTTGTGGAGTTTTTTTCACATTGGACCCTAGAATTAGCTCCATTATTTTGACGCTTCACTGTGAGACGGCTTGTCCACAGTAGAGTGCTGCCTTGTTTAGCGTCTGCTCACATGTGCAGTATCATACCTCCATTGTTATTGGACTGTAGATATACGCAAAGGGCTTGATTTACTAACAAACTGAGCAAATAAAAAAAAAAAGCATAAAACCCAAAAGTAAGAAATATTATGCCAGGACAAAAAATACTATGCCAGGACAAAAACACTTGTAACATGTAACTTGAGTGAGTTAGTGGCATATACATTTAAGAAATACCAAATACCAAATTGATACTTAAATGCACCTTTAAGAGTCAATACCAAACCACATTAGTATTGTATGAGGTTACAGTGTTTAAATGGGGATATTTTACAGAGAATAAATATCTTTGACAACCCTAGTTTAAACATGCCGCTGACAGGTGACTTAAAAAGGTTTTCACACAATCTTTAACTCTAACTTCTTCAACTCAACTTCAATATTTTTTATTAGGATTGTATGCATTAGAAAAAAACATAAAGCTTCAGAGAAACTGACTGTGAACAAAGTATTCCTTTCAAACTGATTTCAAAATAAAATCCGGCCCATATGGCTTTATTTAGTGCATTTAATCTGATACCTTTAAAGGAAAAGACCGGTCACATTCAGAATACAAACTTCTGAAAGTATTTGAATGTTTTTTACTGGAGTCATCCATGTTTCTAAAAGAACTCTACTCCCACCTAACGGTTTGTGTGACGTCACGGTGCGGTATCGGCTGTTGAGAAAGTCCCAGTGCTCTATCTTTTACTGATTAACGCTAAATTAATTAAATCACAGCGAACGTATTAGTTTTAGGTATAATGACTCATTGGTTATTCCTTGCTAACCGGACTTTTCCTTTATATAAATCTTCAGATGAAACATTGATAATTCAGCTGACCTTACTGACCCAGACAATACTAGTAAATAAACAGCTTAACTAAGACCAAGGAACACAGCATACAAGTTAGAGATAAAGTTGCTGAGAAGTTAAATGCCTGATTAGGTTATGTTGAGTGTGCTGAAAATGTGCCCTCCAGTAGGACAGAGACGCTGACTGCTGAACCACCAGAGAGCTAAAAGAAATGGCTCAACCAAGTCCTGGCTTAATTCCAACTGCTGATCTTTGGCAAAATGTCAGGGCTTCCAAGATGATGTCCGGACTTACCTGCTTTGCTCCCTGTCTGTTCCTTCCAATGAGCGAAGAATCTAAATAAAGACAAAGACAATCTTAAGAGTTGAAGCAGAATTTTAAAATCAAATCCATTTTAAGTTTATTGCATATCTATAACATTGTACAACAAAATACTATTAGTATATACAAAATAAATAAAACACATAAATAAGCTCAATAAATTAAACAACCTCAGTCTGATGCCGACACATAATAAGCTCTATTGTGACAATACGGCAAAGTTTGCCAGAAGCTCAGACATTTCATGGTAAGGGTGTAATAAGAACAGTTCAAACTCTGGTTCCTGAAGCTGCTGTGATCCTGAACAGAGGGTAAGGGCCCTCCAGTGACCACCTCAGCTTCCCTCACTAATAAAATGTGTGTATTTTATGTTTAAAGAAGAATTTTTAATATATTCTACTGGTTTGAAAAGTTGAAAGATGAAAAAAAAGACAGAAAAATATATATATTTGGGAAGTGGAACAGGAATACATTATTTGAATCCTTTAGAGATATCTGTATTAATATACTGAGAGTGTTTAGATAAGGAGCAAAGCCTATTTGTGTTGAATTCCTAAAACTATAAAGTACCTAGTGTAGAAATATTCACCCTCTCTATTTCAGTCAGACATTAACGATGTATGTAAAATGAGTTATTCACCAAATGTGCCAACATGCGTGTTAGATTAAATTGTAGCTTTTGTAAGTCTCTGAGGTCTACCTGTGTGACCAGCTGAGAAACTGACAGAGCGCTGATGCATGCTGTTGTTTAGTGGCGAGGAGGAGGAGGAGGGTGTTCCCATCCCAGAGGTGTTAAAGCGACGAGGGACCTGGAACATCACAGCGTAAAGGGATCTGCTGTTAGACTATTTTATGCTGGAAGTGAAAAAAAAGCATTTTTCTTTTATTGATATGTCCTCAAACTTAAAAGTATAGACAAAGGCAAATCATTTCCTCCTGCAAGAAAATAAACAATTGACAATGCAAAAACATATTTATTTTCCTTTTTACATATTTGAAGCAAATTGGATACTCTTTATAACATTTCTGCACACAAGAATGGGTTGTTCCTCTGAAACCTGCTCAGATTCTTTCCTCAAGAAGCTGAACTACTTCATGAGGTGTTTATTTGTTAAATGCGGCCTGACACTCAATTAATGGGGTTAATTATACAAAGAGGATCACCCCCCCCAGGAAATGCAGAGGCAGAAAAGCCTGTTCCTTCCTCTGATAAAACAATAGCTCTAGTTGAGTAAGTTTCATTTATTAGTGTGACCAAATAGGAAAAAAAGCCTGATACCCATACTTTAGGGAGTTGGGATCCCCATTAGACTGGACTATATTAAAAATCTGCTGTTTTATCTGTAACTTCTAGACACCAAAGCCTTTAACCAGATTTTTCCTTTTTTTTTTTAAGCAGGATGTGTGTTTTTAAATCAAGTCTAGGTACCCCAGTGAAGATAACTAAGCAAAAGTAGTAGAAGTCTATTCATGTCGTCAAAATCCATTAAAAGCTCAGATAAAAAGATTAACACTGCCTTATTACTACATCCTTAACTTAATCTGCTTGCATGATTAAGTAAAATTTTGGGAAGCTCCCATTGAGGTTTGACCTACAGGAACTCAGCCTCTAATTAATCTTATAAACCGTGTGCTTAGAACACATCTATTGCTGGATTTTTAAACAGAGACAACTATGCTTATGTTATTAGCTGTCTTTACCTTGTAAGAACTTACAGAAATGTTCAAACAGAGTCAAACTAAAAATACTACACCGATGCCCATAAGAGCTACACAAGCTTGATGTTGATTTTATGGGTTGGGCTAACAGAAGTTTAACTGCATGTTGATTGTGTGTATTAAAAAGATTTTAGATATTATTTCAGGGTTCTCCCCCATCTTTCATGTCAACGTTCCAGACTGCAATGACAGGCAGGTAGAGGCAATATATGGATATATGGATGGATAATGAGAAGAACCTATCAGGACTTCCCCAAAAAATCTACACTTCAGTTCTTTTGAAATCTAAAATCTTTTTGCCAAAAATTTATTTGGTGTTGTTGTTCTTACCACCTCAGGAAGAAAAACTAATTGCTGTGTTCTTGGTGAGCATGTATTGGCCCTAAGGCACAAGCCGGAGAGAAAGAAATGTTTAAAAAGTAAAGAAAGGAAGCCGGGTAGGAAGGATAACAGGAGGGACATTGGGAATGGGCAAATGGAAAAAAGAGATTTAAGACACAAGAAAGGATGGACAGAAAGAAGAGGTAGAATACAAGGATGGAGCAAAGGCAAGAAAGAGGGTAAAATAGATGGAAGTAGGAAAAGAAGGGCCATATAAAATTAAATTCCTTGTTTTTTGCATCAGTCAGGTTATTCTAGAAGAATCTGAACGAACAGAAGAAGGAAGTGTATGATGAAATAAGGACACAAAGAGAAAGGAAAGGAATAATAAAGGAAGGACATGACAGGGAAACAAGAAGGAAGACAGAAGGGACAAAAAAGAATTCATTAAGGCCTGGAAGAGTATAGAAATACATTTTTATGTTTCCCATTTCTTACTCAGATAAGCAAAACACCTAAATGAGGTTTAATAAGTTCCACACCGTGTACGAACCTTGTCCTTCTTCATATACCTCAAAACCTTCTAAAATCAACTTACTGCTTGCCAAATACTTAATGCTTGAGATTCAAAACAGAAGAATCATAGCAGAAAAAAAAAAAAAATCAAACCAAAAAGGGTGACTGGCTCTCCGTCTCCTTCCGAAAGTGGTGAGGCCCTAGCTGTAGATGGCTGAGCCGCTGCCTGGTGACCTCGGACAGCTGGCACATCTTGCGGTGGGTGTAGGGGGACAGGGCTCTTGACCTGGAGGCAACAGTGGGCCGTTGGTACCCGGCGTTCACAGAAGCTCTAGTGTCACCGTGACTCTTGTTTCTTTGAGGACTGCGGTCAGACGGGGATGCATAAGGAGGACGTCTAGACGCTGTCGTTTGAACCCAGTTTGTGACCAGGGCCTTGACATTCATCCTTTCCTTCCCCTCTTTCCCCACAACACTATCAGAAACATCATCATCTGTTTTCCTGAATGGGGAAAACTTCGTTGTGGATTTTTGCTGAAACAGGGTTAAAGATGGTCTCACCGGAGAAAGACGACAGGCCTGTTTGTGGCGACAGAGAAAGAACACCGTTAACTTCGTCAGATCACGCTGACACTCTTGTCTAAATGTTAATGTAACACACAACATCTGAGCAAGTTCATAGTTCTCTGAAGGCCATAATTTATTCCTTTTTATGAAAGCATCCTCCACTTTAACCATTAAGACCATTGCTCTCAGTTTGACAGGCTTGCTCTCGCTGGACAAAACCATTAAACCATTAGCTAAATGATTCCACTTAAGTGTTATAAGAAAACAGCTCTGCTGCTCCACACTGCCATGGAGACAACCTCTGCAGAATTACTCCAATAACTCTAATGGCCACCAACATCATTCTCTGAAGCAATATCTCACTTCCTGCAGGTAATGCCAACCAGGGATAAATAAGTTAAGATAAAATGTTAATTGCATTTGATGGCCATCTCTTAGTCTAATATGATAGAGAGACATTGGCAGGCTGTAAAACAAAGATAATCTAAATGCTAATTAGAAATATCTCAGCGTATTAAAACTCTTTTTAAGAGAAACCAAATGTTGAATAAATCATCATCAAAGCTGCCATTTGACAATAATCTGATGTAATGGAAATAGGACATACGGTCTCCTCCCTGAATCCCCCACATCTGTGACTTCTATCTGTTTTTCAGTGTTGGACAGGCACGGAGAGAGAGAGAGTTATTTTTCCAGTCCTCAGAACAGAAGGCTTGACTAACGTGATTAGCTGTGATTTTCACCACAGGTTTTTTAGAGGATAAAGACATCATTGGACGAAGTTTGGCATGTTGATAAATCACAGGAAGGTTAACGTCTACAGCTACCCTGGTAGCTCTGTGAAGCTGGTTCTGTCTAAATGCTTCAGAATGTTAATCCTTATATCATGTTTAAATCCCCACAATCACAGTGTAAACAGGGAACGGCTAAGCAGTGATCATCCTAGCATGACATCGACTGAGAAAAAGGACAAAAATGAGTACATCAGCCCTGATGCAAAAAATTATACCTCCTCCCACAGTTATTGGCACCACTGTCCAATGAGGCCCAGCACACATCAGCCTTACTTGAATGGTGTCCGATTGTGTTTTTCACTTTGAAGAGAGGAAAAACTGGTCTTTGTGTAACACATAATACTTAAGGAAAAAGAGAAATAGTACATTACAAATTAAAATGTCCTTTACATTCACTGAATTAGAAATAAAGGTATATATTTATAACACTTCAGTTAACTAACTATTAGAATGTGTTGTTGTGGCACCAGATGCAGGCGAATCTAAGATTACTTTTTAAGTGAGACAAAATAAAATGTACTTGATTAATAAAGCATCATCCTGCCTTTTTAAATCATGTGTGACCCTCTTGTTTTGTATTGTGCATGGTCACTGGTATGAAGAATGCATAATTAGGGCTGGACAATATGAGCAAAACTTGCAACCTAATTGGTATAATTTTATAATTTCATATCATTTCATATCATTTGTACTTTTAATGCTAGGCTTAAAACGTTCCTTTTTGATCAAGCTTATAGTTACAGTGGCTCAGGTTATCCAGAGATATCTCTATAGTTATGCTGATATAGGCTTAGACTGCTAGAGGACATAGGGACACCTTTTTCATCATTCTGCTTCATTCTATCTCTATTCTCCCATTCTGCAGAATTTGTCAGTTGAATCTCTAACATTATGCTCTCTCTGTTTTTTCTCATCATAGTAGCTTCATCTGGTCTGCTCCTAATTGGCTGTCACACCATCCCAGAGAGAAATATAGGCTGTGCTTCTGCAATCAACACCTTTGTTTATAGATGACGGAGCTTGGCTTGTTTTTCAGTGTAGTCCTGTTTCTCTAACTGTGACTAACTGTATGAGCTCTCCTTCATCCTCTGACATGGGAGCAGGCTCTGAGCTCATCTGCCTGGCTGTGTGTTTCCTGGACGGGGCCGCCTGTGGAGCTGGTTGACATTTGCGTTTTTTATTTCTACTTCTTTCTGTATGTCTGCTTCTGTCTCCTTGAACTCCAGTCGGTCTCGGCAGATAGCCGCTCACACTGAACCTGGTTTTCCTCTCCATTGTCGCTACAAGCATCCTCGGTGTGAGGGATTGCTTTCGAGTCAATGAGTCGATGCAATGAGCTGGTTTTCCTTTGATAGAAAACTTTTATTAAATGTGACTGTTTGATCTGGTTGAATTGTCTCTGTAAAGTGCCTTGAAATGACATGTATTGTGAATTGGCGCTATAAAAAAAAAAAGTAAATCGAATTTAATTAGATTTCGGCTTTGATATAAGCAAAATAAAAGCCAGGAACAAAGTAACAAAAATGCCAACAACAGATGCCCTTATTAACTCGTGACAATTATTTCGCCATGTTTTTAAAACTTGAATATAACATTTTAGAAATGATTACTTTAAAACAAAACACAATTGCATTGTAATATAAATCAATATTAATTTATTGATTTATAGATCTATTCTTCATCTTCGACTTAAAGGCTTGCAGATCATCTTGAGCTGAAGGTTGAAAGCTCTATTCAATTTAAGAGTGCCCCCAAGAGGTCAAACAATTATTACCCGAGTTGATCCAAAATAGATACATTTTCCTAGCATTACAGGGTCCAGACTAAAATGTTGCTCTAAGATGCCTAGCCTACTAACTTATTTGGTTCATGGGAAACTTCTTATGTAGTGACTACAAGTCCCACCCCCCTGATGGCCTGTAGTTTGGCCTTGCCTGTCCAGACTTGGACAATATTCACTGATTTCAATCAGATATTTTGAAATGAACTCTCTGCATTTAACCCATCCCCTTAGGGGGCAGTGGATTGCCAAAGTGCGGCACCCGGGGAGCAGTGTGGGGTTAAGGGTCTTTGCTCAGGAACTCAGAGTGCAGGCTGTGGTGATCGAACCGGGTGCTTGCAACCTTCTCAGAGCACAAGTGCACTTCTCTAACCCCTAGGCCAACACGCCTCTTGATGTGCATGTTTTTGTGACACTATTATATCACATCTGTCACCAAATTGGTCAGACTCTAGACATCTGCATTATAACCACACCAAGCATTGGACATGTCGAGGTGAGTGGACATTTATGAGAGGAGACGGAGGACCTGAAAACCATAGAAAGAGTAAATATTTTAACTATTAACTCAAATTTCTTTCTCTGTCTTTGTGCGTCTGTATGTAAGCCGCGTATCTGCAAGGCAAACATTTTTCCCCCCAGACTACTTATAGGGTAATTGTTGCACAATTTTTAGGTATTAAATATGAAACACAGTGTATGAAAAGGACATATAGCAGCTGTTTATGGATTGTAATCCATTAGGCAGATGTTAATGATGTTATAGGCAAATTAAAAGTGTGTTCATTCTGTTGGCTTCAAAGCTGTTTGCTTTCTCAAGCGCATGACAAAAAGAGAGAGAAAAAAATTTCTAGTTGCTATAAATTCAAATTTGCTCTAAGACACCTTGATTATATTATATTAATAATAATTTAGCTTTTGTGGAAGAGAAACAAAAAAAAATGAAACAAAAGGATCCCATCAAAAGATGGCACTGTTATTCTGAAGTTAACATGTCTGTAATGATTGTGTTTGCACTGATGGGTACAGAGGTTCTGTGGGAGAAGCCTTCCTCCTAAAGCTGTTTTAGTAAACAACATAGCTTGTCAGCATGGAAGACATGTAGTCAGGAAAATGCCTATGCTGAGAAGCCATTAGGAGAGAGAAAATGGAGAAATCCTACTGTCTGACAGCCACAGCGGTGCTCTGATCCAGGCATCCCCCTAAGGGGCCGCTGCACAACACTGTGACAATCTGCTTTGGTGACAGTGACATCCCATTCAAACTAATAGCTTAGCTTAGGTTGCCACACCTGGGAGGTGCATGGTAGTCTGTTTGGTACAACATGCCAACCGCTGTGTGAAAGATCATATGCTGCAAAGAAATTGTGACAAATCTTTATTCATGCTGTTTTAACTCTTACTGGGTCTTCTAAGTTCTCTTTGAATAAGATAAAGTGTGCTTCAACATAACACGATTGATTTAAAAGCAAACAATACAACAGAGGAATATTTATATTATCTACTTTATAAATGAGTAGCCTGAATGTTTAGTATGTTTAAAAAAATGTAATGAAAAAGCTGAGCCAACAGATGCATGGGAATATTATTGAAAGGTTAGTTTGATTGCAGTAATTCAATGGTAACAGACAGGTAGGAAACCGTTTCACAGAACGCAAGAAAAGCAAAGCAAAATAAACATCACAATTAATTACATGCCTGTTTGTTTGAAATTGTCTTTTTTTTTAAATAATCAATAGAGTTGACTTTGCATTAAGACTTAATCCGGGTTCTTCAGCCAGAAATGCCTGATGCCCATACAGCATATACAAAAAATGTAGGGTCTGAAAAGTTTAAATTGAAGCCCGATTGACTGTCAGCCACTAGAGTTGATCCAAGACAGGCGTTAAATCCCTGTTAAATGTCATTAGGCAATGATGTACTCAAGATGAAATAAAAGCATTTAAAGTTATTTCTATATAAATAAATTCACACAGAGACCAGAGGTCTCACCAGGTTATTTAAATTTAGCAATCCACTATACATATATATATATATATATATATATATATATATATATATATATATATATATATATATATATATATATATATACATACACATACATACATACATATATATATATATATATATACATACACATATACATACATACATATATATATATATATACATACATTATATATATATATATTATATATATATATATACATACACATATACATACACATATACATACACATACATACATATATATATATATATATATATATATATATATATATATATATATACACATACATACATATACATATATATATATATATATACACATACATATACATACATATATATATATATATATATATATATGCTTAAGTATAATATGATAATCTGGACATGAGTAGCTCCACCTTAAAATACAGCAATGAGTAGCATATAAAATGGAAAGTCATATTGTTTTGTGAAAACTTAAGGACATGAGAGAGAAGCCTCTGTATCAGCATCACTGATCTGCCTCCACATAATTACATTTACGAAGAGGGAACAAACAACCTGGAAATGCTGCTCGTATGGACAGTAGTCATGGCAACAACAGAGGCTGAATATGTTTAGTGAAAACAGACAAATGTGATGGCGAGCAACACCACCCATTATGTCCCACTATAGATTAATCTTTAGCGCTCAGGACATGCAGGATCATATATCTATGGCGAGAGCAAACAAACACACAAAGGTGTTTTAAACAGACACACTTACAGGTGATGGAGCCCAGCTGTCTCTCCCATTACTCTCCTCTATGACTGACGCCGTTGCAAACTCCACTTTAGGGGAGATTCCCTGGCAAGAGAAGGACAACAGAGAAAACAACCCCTTTAAGAGCGAGAGGAAGACAAAAGGAAACATAAAAGCTCTGCAAGGGACACCAATTTACGAGCACAAATCTTCAATCTGTTCCTGAGTCAAGAAAAACAAACAAACAAACAGCAGAAAAGGAGAAAGCCACCAGTGATGTTTAAATAATATGGCATTTTAGTAGAGACATCTAAATTGCTACGTATTCCTCAAACACAAACACATAAAAGCGCTGGCGAAGGGGAGCGGTGTTTAAAGACATTTAAATATGCCAGTTGGTGCCTTGGAGGACAAGGGGGATAATAGCAAAACAAAACTGCAGATGGAGAGATGAAGGGATGAAAGCAGGAGGTGATAGGAAGAGAAAAGGAGAAATAAACATACAAGTTTCCAACTTTTTGATATAGTCAAGATAGGCGACTGCTTTTTAGGAAAATATTAACTTTTATGAAGAAAACACTTTATCAACCACAAAGTGAAGCTTTTTTAACAATTTGATAAGACACCCTAAGATAAGCGGGGGAGTGGCGGCCGAGTGGTTAGGGCATAGAGCTTGGAATCCTGAGGTTACGAGTTCGAGCCCCACTCCCACAGACTGCCACTCTGGCTCTCTGAGTAAGACCCTTAACCCCACACTGCTCCCCGGGTGCCCCATGATGGCAGCCCACTGCTTCCCAAGGTGATGGGATAAATGTAGAGGTAATTTCTCCAATATGAGATCAATAAAGTATTATTATTAGTCCAATATTGATATCGAAAGTCAGTCCGATATCAGCCACTTTCTCTAAAATATCAGACATCAAGCTCATAGAAACACTGTACTTCTATCTACTTTGGTTTAATGTTTATTTAACTCTTTAGGGAATAATAAATGTTTTTTCATACCTCGTGTTGTTAAATATTGTTCTGTGTTTGAGAAATATCACTTGATCCAGCCTTTCCTATCATTCCACACCAGGGGTCACCAACCTAAAGGCTTGGAGCTACTTTATGGATACTGAGTTATAGGAAGGCCTGCCAATACTGATCTATGACCCAGAGAGGTAAGCATTCATCTGAACTTCACATATAATAAACAGATTTTTATTGTTTCCTATCATTTCTCATTTTATTTCAGATATTGTCATTTTAAAATCTGCTTAAATACTCTCTGATTAATATGATTAAACATTCTCAAAAGCTCCTAATTTTAAATTATTAAAAAAAGAAGAGCAACAGAATAAAATAAAATGTCAAACTTAGCTCACTGGGGAATTTTTCTGTTTTAAAGAAGACACTGGGGGCACCCCATGTGATCCTTGAGGGCCACCCGTTGATGACCCTGTTCCACAAAATAAAATGAATAATAAAAGTATGTATGATAGATACTGATATTGTATTGGGTCAAAATCGATATCGGTCAAAGCTGCGATATGTGTATCATATCGGAAATCAAAAGGTTGTATTGGGGCACCCCTAAAGGTAGTGTCTTGTTTCTGATGATTGAATATCACATGGGGATTTCTGTAGCATTTAGATTCGGTTAAAATAAACTTTATAATAAGGACTTTTTTTCTTGTATGACTGTTACAATAGTTAAATTTTTCACTTTTAAATTTTTTCCGTTTTGTGCTTTTTTTTTAAAGCAGGAAACAAAAAAAGTAACACCTAGTTCTAATATTATTATCAGATTTGTATATGTTTTTCAGGTGACATTTTTGATAAATATAAGTGATCCTAAACCAGTAACAATAAGAATTAAAAGACTTTAAAAAAATCATGGCTAAAATATATTTAAAGTAAAACTTCTACACATTCCAAACTTATGCCAATAAAGATTCTCAGTCATCCAGGTCATACTCATTCCGTAAAAGTGGAACCAAACAAGCCGCTCATCAGTTTCAATTTGCATGTGTCCAAGCAATTCAAGGCCATGTTTATATAAAGCCTCAACTCACTGCGGATCCAGACATTTGAATTGAGAAAGCTTCCTGGAGGGGAAGCGAAACGTCTTCAAACCTTGGAAACCAAGTCCAGTGGATTGTTTTTAAACTTTTACGGAATTCCAAACTTATATTTACTGAGTGCTCAGTGCCTCTTCAGCTGCTTCTTTCAAGGTAGAGATATATATTTTTTATGATAAAATAAAAGTATTTTAGACATAATAAGAATCACCATTAAAGAAGCTTACAGGCAAATTGGAATCTTACTATACTGATTCTCCACATTCATTTTGTTACAAGAAATAAGTTCTAAAGTTCTTTAATTATAAAGTCTATCTCTTTATATCAGAAAATAACTAAAAAAGAACCACATTAAGTGTGACCTTAACAAACCTAATCCTTTAAAAGATCCCAGAAGTAAAGAGAACAGAAGATAACCAGCTCACAAGAAACAATGGAGATCTTTTCATCAGTGCGCTTCTTTCTGCAGCTCCTTCGCTGCCAACTGGTCTGGGACCAGGGTACAGAAAATCTCTGCTGCATTCTTCCATCGTGGCAAGAGTCTCCCCCTCTGAAAGCAATGCATAGAAACACATACAATTACATTAAATCCACATTAAAAGGTCTTTTTTTCACAGTGCAGTGGCTTGATGGAGAGGAGTTTAACATGCCCATATGGCATCATCAGAGAGCATACCTGGAGGGACCAACTGAATCAGCTCAAAAAGTGTTGTGTCAGCTGTGGAGAAGCAAAGCATAAACAGTCTGTTAGCTAATGATCGCTATCTCAGCTAATAGCTGTTAAGGGCACAACGAACAAAAAATTAAGACTAAGAGATGAGCAAGCAATTCCCAGATGGCCATTTACCTTTGAGGAGGTCAGTTACATCAGCGGGGTCGACAACGCCAGAGAAGGTCTGATAAAACAAAGTACAAACAAAACAAGTCGATATTCAAAACCAGATCAGTCTCCTCATTGTAAACAGGAAGACTTTTATCATGAAAAATTAAGATACAGTCAAACTGCATTGATTCTGTAAACAGTAACCTGATAATAGTGTGAATCTAAACAGCTTTTGCACATTGTGTCACTTCAAGACCACAAACCTCAACATATTTAAAAGGAAAGCTGCAAATAATTCTTGAGGGGAAATGGAAAAAATACATGAGATAAAATATTCTTAAAATTAAAATCCGAACAGCCTGGCGGTACATTTGCACTTTGCTCTAATGAATCAACACTTTGCACAACCACCTCTCCACATAGAACATTTTCTTTTTTTTGCATTGAACACATTTTTTCATGGCTTGCCCCTAAAGGTACAGTGGAGGATGTTCTTTTTTCTGGGTGGATCATCAAAATAAGTGGTCCTGCTAATTGTCAATCATTCTGGTGATATGTTTATGTAAGGCCCTCCTACGTGCTCGTCCCCATTTTCACTTACCGTGGTGAGTCTGACATAGTGGAAAATTGCAAATCTTCTTTTGGGAAGTAAGCTTGTATGAGCAATGTAAACACGCTCTCGCATGTGTTTAATAGGCATTACCTCTAGGGAGCGGGTACAGGGTTGAGAAAATCCTCCACTATACCTTTAATTTATCTGTTTTATTCCTACCTTGACAAAAACCATTCTGTGGTGAAACAGTAAAGGGAAAAGAGGTGCCAAACACGGAGTGCTCTTGTACAGTCCCATTATACGCACGCGGAGGTAAACGTCATTATTTTTGTGCAGGAGGACTCCTGGGCAGGTCACCTGCAAATAGTTTATAGCGATGATGTGTTTATTACTTATTTACAAGTTTCTGCCAGACAGATGATTCTAAGTATATTCAATTGCTATGAAAAATATATTTTTTATATTGCTATATTTCATTTTGAAATTGAAATGACTTGTTCTCATAATTTTTTAATCATGCAACACTTTAGTAGAAGTCAACCTAAATAATCTTTCAAACAGGGAACCACTTCTTTGAAATACTGTGGCCCAGCTGATAATCTACATTAATTTGAGTATGGATTCCTTCTAGTCGAAATTCTACTTTTTGCACACACAAAAAAATCAAAAGTCCTTTTAAGGATATAAAAAAAGATAAATAAACTAAACAGAAAAGTTAAATTAAACAATGGCCAGAGTCTAAAAACTGAACCTGCAAAACATTGCAGACATTAGAAAAGATGTTAGATGGATGGATGGATGGATGGATGGATGGATGGATGGATGGATGGATGGATGGATGGATGGATGGAAGGATGGATGGATGGATGAATTGATGGATGGATGGAAGGATGGATGGATGAATTGATGGATGGATGGATGGATGGATGGAAGGATGGATGAATTGATGGATGGATGGATGGATGGATGGATGGATGGATGGATGGATGGATGGATGGATGGATGGAAGGATGGATGGATGAATTGATGGATGGATGGATGGATGGATGGATGGATGGATGGATGGAGGGATGGATGGAGGGATGGATGAATTGATGGATGAATGGATGGATGAATGGATGGATGGGTGATGGATGGATGGATGGAAATGAACAATATTAAGTGGATATATGGAAAAAATGAATGACTGAATACATGGATGATTGGGAGACAAGTTAAAAGAATAAAAAAAAAACAAGTAAATTAAATTATTCTTAAACGGAGTAAAAATCATCAAAAATAACATAAAATATTTTAAATATACCACTGAGATTTATAAATCAAAATAAGCCAACAAACAATTGCTAAAATAAAAAACAAAATACTTATTTGTGGAACAAAAATGACTCCATTTGAAGCTTTAAGTCTATTGATTTTAATATTGATAACAACAATGTCACGTTTTACATGATGTGCCATCTGTATAGAACACGACCAGCATCGTGACTGATACTAAGGTAAGAATATAAGCATAATATCGTCATAATGTTACTGGTGAGCTTCCAACTAGGACTTTTAGACACCCTGTTTGCTGACAAAACAGGATGTAAACTTGCTAACTAGCTTGCTTCCCCCAAACTGTAGCAACAATCCCGTTTCCTGAGATTTGTACCGAAGTGCCAGCGAAGGAACACACTTACTCTCTGGATATCCAGGTACACTGTACATCGTAGAACCTTCTGCTGGTTTTTGTTAACCTTTTTCTTCCTCATCGTTACCACTCCTCTGAAGCTTTAAACTTCGTTGTCATAACAGCAACAGCCACAGAGCGGATGTGAAGTCATGTGACCACAAAGTAACCAATCAGAGCTCTCTAAAAAAAAAAAAAAAAACTTCATCGTCTGACCATAGATAGATAGATAGATAGATAGATAGATAGATAGATAGATAGATAGATAGAATATCAGCTATTCAGATTTAGACTGAATATCTTGATCTGAATTTAAAGTTTAAGACATTATTTAACAGAAAAATGTGCTTGTAAACTTCTGTCGGTCATTTAAAGTCTACTCCTTTTTATATCTCTATTTTACAGGTAAACAACCTTGCATTAAAATAAGAAGGAAGAACTAATTATAACGTTCTTACATGGTAATCTTTTAGTCATTGTTTGCAAGCCTTTAATTCTAATTTTCCTTACCTGGAAATCAAACCCATGCATGTTAAGGCCTAACTAAAGCTTTTATTTCCATTAAACATCACCTTTTTTTATTTGCAAACAAAATACAAGGTATTTTATCATATTAGATATTATGTAGTGGGTATGTCTGTTGTTTAACCTTTGTTTACAATTATTTCACTATAAATAGAGCACTTCTTGTTGCCAGATCTAGCTGGGAATAAATCGCATCATGCATGTAACCTTTATTTATCTAGGTAGTTATTATTTTTTGAAAAAAAAAAAAAAAAAAAACTAAAATGATTATTGGAATTTTGTTGAAGTCATCATTCTCCATCATCCCTTATCATTAGATTTTTAAACAGTGGTAATATCTTAAATGGAGCTTGGCTTTGAAACAGTATCCTAAACTTAGAACATCTCAATGAACACATATTAAGATAAATTGTGTCACAACTGCAAACTCTCCTTGGATTTCACAACTACCTAACCTGGCAGGTAAGAAGATTAATAAGTCAGGAAAGTTACGACAGGTTACTTTCCTGATTACTTGGATAAATCTATAAATGAAAAAGAACTGAAAACCATAAAAAGTATTATTTGCAGCACAAGCTCAGGACAGGGCAGAGCAGATAGCAGAAAGAAGGTGCTCTCATCAGGTAAGACCAGAAAACCCACACAAAAAAACTTTGAAACCTCCTTACAAAACACTAGGTCCTCTATTATATTAAATATTCTTTGCAGGTGCTTTTTAACAGCGTGGAGAATCATTGAAATGATTAAGCAAAATATGGTTCTACTAAGTAATATGTCAACAAGCTGAATACAAATTCTCACCATGCTTTATAAAATGTATTGCAAAATGATTTCAATTCCACATTTAATTCCCTTCCACTTGAGAATTGAACTACTTTGTATTGTTCTAGAAAATGGGATTCTGGTTAATTAGTTGAATTTTTGGTTCCAAAAGGTATAAATTTGAAAAACGTATTGAGTGTAAATACTTTTTTTATTTATAAGAAAATATGGAGGTCTAATTAAAGCAACCACAGCTCATTCATCCCTGCCGCAACCAGGCTCTACAATTCGACACTACAATAGCAATAACTTGTGCAATGTATAATGTGCAATTGCTATTTGATACCCTGTGCAATAACCTGTTCCTCTATATCTGACACCCAGTGAAATACTATATATATAAATATAGATATCAGTCTATATAAATTCCCATGCAAACACCCTGTGCAATAACCCTGTATAATAATCCTACAAAAACAAAGCTGTCATATATGGACTCACTGTATATACTGTATATATCCCATGCATTTTTTTCTTCCTTTGGCACATTCTTCTCCTTTGACCATTTGACCTGATGTAATGAGCAAATTTCTCCACCGTGAGATCCATCAAGTAAATCAATCTATCAATTAATTAATCAATAAATAAATCAAATGCCTGCCCAAGAGTTAAGCGTCTTAAATAAAATTGAAACTTTACCTGATATCTTTCTCATTTACATCAATCACAGGTATATATTCTTTATAATATTGCTACAAAAAAACACCAAGTAGAACAGAAGCATTTAGACTTTTTAAATATTTAATAATTTATAACGGATAAAGAAAACATAACACTGCACAGGACAAAATGACAAAAGTCAATCATTACATAAGCACATGCATTTTTCTCTGCCAAAAAAAGAGCAGTCATGAATGCCTTATTGAGCTTAAATTGGTATCCTGGCCAACCAACATCACAATCACACACACACATCCGCTGTCCTTCTACATTTACTATAAACACAAATAAAAGAGCAGGAAACACCTGGTTTGAATGTCAACATATGACTGTTATGTATTTTAAATAGTTATTTATAAGGGTTTCTGCATGAAGTTTGCATGTATCCATGTGAGATAGGTTTAATTAGGTTTAAATATGAGCAGAGGTCTAAGTGCATGCTACTATAAGTTGTGTTGGACTGGTAACCACTTCTAGTTGTTTGGAGACCTTAATCAACAGCAATAAGAGGTATATATGGATAGATAGTCAAGGAGACGTGTTTCTCATTAATGCAGAGTCTAAAGAATCGTCCTTAGTCTGCGTCTCTACTAGTGTCCAAAACTTTGGCTCTTCTCCTTTTTCCTGTCGCCTGTGTCCCTGCCAACACCAGTGCTGCTCCCTGTCTTGCTTTTGTCTCTCTGGGACATCCCATCTGCGCTGAAGACAAAGACATATCAACACAAGTCAATGCAAGTTGTCACAAAAAATTATTGCGCCTTCATATTTTCTTTTTTTTGTCATATACTTTTACCTTTGTATATTAGTTGGTCTATTTTCCTTGATGAGGTTGTTGAGCTTGTAATAATCCAGGAAGGTTCGAGCCACATTTCTACCAAGTTTCATATCTTAAATAAGGGAATTAAGGATTGTTCTACTCCTTAAACTGAAGATTTAAAGCCAAACCAGGAGGGAAACACATGATGAAATGGAAAATGTGGAGTAAGTATTAGGGTTTTTATTGTGGTACAAAAAAAATAAAAAATTCTGTATTGCAAATTATAGTTCTTAAAATATCATGCAAGGTGAAGGGTCTCTTGTTGTAAAGCCATAGAAAAACTCTTTTCTGCCTAATTTCGCTGGCACCCAAAATCCAACCAAGCCTTTTAGCATATTATAGTTGAGTGTTTTAATTTTTATCACTTGTAGCCTTCCCTTTGTTTGCCTGACCGCTCTTGGCAGGAGACAGCTGTTCCACTTAAAAAGCTTCAGAGCAATACCTCCCAGACTTAACATCAGCTGGCAAACATTTCAAAGCATAACAACTCTCTTATTCCCGGGAAGAACAAAATGACTGGATTAACACATGCACTTTTTTCAGAAGGACAAGTCAGAATGGGCCAATTTAACCCTTTTACCATTTATCAGTCAGACATTGCCTGTAATCAACAACTGCTACTAGTTTTCAGCGATAGATTGAGCAATCATCCCAAACAACTTATTTAGATCTACTGACAGACAATCAGTGTTGTTTTTGACAGCCTTCGTAGAGTTAGTCTTCAGATAGAAAACTATTATTAGTTTTAGTAACATTTTAGTCAGGAGATCTGACAGTTTTAGTCGGTTTTAGTCGACTAAAACTTAAAAAGGTTTTAGTCTAGTTTTATGTTGCAAAAAGGTTAACCTTTAGAATTTCGAATAACCTGATTCTTTACCAGACTGACACCTCTTGCATAGATACTACAATTGCTGGGTATAGAATGCTGCCATGCAAATGATCATTGCTGTTGGGCAGAAAACTTTGATTTATATAATTCAAATAAACTCTTTATGAATTGGATCTAGTTCAACGCATCATTTCGGTTGTAAAGCAGACAGACAAGCTAAAAAATTTACAATAAAGGAAAGGTTTTACACATACAAGGTTACCATTCAAAAGCAAACACTTCTTGATCTACTATAATTTAAGCATTACACACAGATCAATAAAATCTTCATATCTCCAAAAACAGCAAAGAACAGAAACATTATTCCTTCTACTTTGGCAATTTGGCTTTATTTCTTCAATTTGCCCCTTGATTTCTGCAGCTCAAGGGTCAAAGTAGACTTAAATACACAGGGTTTTGATATAAAAAATAAAAGAATACAGAGAACCTACATAATTGCCTTGTAATGCAATGGCAATCCAGACCTAAACTGAATGAATATGCTAACCAAAATGTTGAAATATTTAAAGGAAACATAGAAATGTTTTAATGACAATACAAGGAAACATTTACATCATATTTAAATAGACACAAACGAGAAGGATCAGAGAGAATTATTTAAAGATCTATGTACTTTTTTACCTGGCTCTTTATCCAAAAATAAACAGTATGAAATGAAATATTTACTTTGGATAAAATTTAGGGATTCCTTTTGGTAGAAATTAAATAATGTTTAGTGTCACCTCTTATGAGCTGGAAGAAATAAAATCTTGTTAGACAAGGGGATTTTTTTAAGCTTGGCAGGGAATGATCAGCCACATATAGTTTATTAAGTAGTTAGAGCCATACTGCTGAGAGCGAACCATCAGAGTGAAGCGAGAAGCATAAGCACAGCTGGAAGAGCAGAGTTTGCCAGAGGTGAGCCTTCAGTACTGGACGATTCTGGGTTATTTTATCCCCTGCTGCTGCTGCCACGTTCCATCTGTGTTCATGCAAAATCTGCACTGCTGCACACCAGGTGGGCAGCAGTGTGACCAAACAAAAAGCAGCTGCACGGCTGATACTGCTTAGCTTGTCTAACAGATTACAGCACAATGATACATTTTAGACATCTGCCCGACCACAAGCTAATTTTTTTATTTAGTCTCGTCGACAAAAAATTACACCTATGGCTCGTCATGTTTTCGTCATCAAAGATCCATCCAAGGGGCATCAATGAAATAAATTCGAAAACAACACTGCAGACAATAAGGATAGATTTTTGAATAATTCCACATAGTGCATGTCAACATGTGGTTTCAAATGCACAAGCAAGAAAGCAAGGACTTTTCCTCTCACCGGTGTCGATCAATGCACAACTGGACGTGTCATCAAGACAGCAAGCAAAACTGAAAAAAATTAAAAAAAAACTGATCACATCAAATGGCTGCAAGCACACATCTGACTGTTAGACCGAAACAACATACCTAGAAAGAACCCATAGGGTTTAATTTCAATGGATTTTACTTTTTAATAATTATAGGCTACACTACATCTTTTGTGTATTGATTGTAGCTGTGATCCCTGCATGGATCTGTTTACTTCCATATAAGCAATTGAGGCCTATGATCAAAGCAAAATGACTGAGTGGCAACATTCTGGTAGCTAATATCTATCATAGTCTTATAATCACATTTTATTATATTAGTAAAGGAGGGGATCATACAAAAGAGATCTATGAAAGGTATTTTTAACCTGTGACTAAACAAAATTTTACATTATTAGAAAGATTAAGAAAATGGGTGAGATGGGTACATGTGTTATTAGTTATTTCCCCAATTCCTGAGAATCGGGAGATGAGGGTAGAACATGGGAACCTACACATAGTAACAATTATAAATGTGCTTAAGGCATTATTCATTTTTTATATTGATGACATATATGTTTCACATGCATAAAATCCTCAGACACGTGTAGAATGAATATTAACAAAGCCTAAAATGTCCTTGTCCTTGCAAACAGACCTGACGATCAGCAATAAATAACTAGAGACAAGCACATGGGGACACGAGCAGTGCAAACATTCAGGCTGCACAACCTATTAAGTTTGGCCAAAACGACTGCATTTCACTCACACCAGACAAATGTATGATGCTGGTATGAATCAGACAAAGCAATTACTTCTAAAACTGAATCCTAATTCAAATTCAGAGGTGAGTGCACACACTGTCTTGGCTGTCCCTTACTACATTAGCTTGAATGCTTTTATAGAAGAGTCAAGCATTAATGGGTCCTTTTGCCAAGCCTGTCATTATAACGACAGCAAGGCAAGTAATGATGGCAGTCAGTTCCAGATAATGAAAAAACAGAAAAGCAGAAAATGCCAACAATGTTCCCAATCAACAAGAGAAACGATACTGTGAATACGGATAAATAAGAACATTTTAACTAAAAGGGGTAAATTTCATTCAGTTGTTAAAGTCAGGGCACTAGGAAAACACTTTAAAACGAGCTGCCAGTCTGTCTGAGTACATCCCATCCTCCCTTTTAATCATGTTCCATCCATAAGTAATGTTCAAATGGATCCAGACGGAGAACAAACAGATCTGTGAGTTTTTTTCCATTGATGTTTGGCTGCTTCCATTTTTCACCAGACAAGAGAATGATGAAGCAGCAGAGTGTCATAATATTTCTGTTTTCTGGTCATTACCTTTTTGATTCTGAGATACAGCATGTCATCTAATGAACAATTCATTTGTCTCAGTTTTGTCATTGAAACAAAACAAAAACAAAAAAATCCTGTGTGCTTCATAATCAGCAATCACACATATTTTCTATCTATTTATTTATAACACAGTTATAGCCTGTATTATAACAGACAGCCTGGGTGTTTAGTTCAGAGCTGTTTGTCCTTTTAGAACCTTAAGTAACACACACACAGCCAGCACACCTGCTAAATTAGACCTGTGATGAGCAAGCAGTTCCCTCTGTGCAGGTCTGTCACCTTTTGGCCTTTGAATGTTCTCAAGTCACCACTGGACATCATTCTTTTCACCACGGTCTGATGGAAGCACTCTCCACATGACTCCAGTTTATTCAAAATCTGGCTGTCTGGGAGCCTTTCATCAGCTGAAACCTGCACTATTTCTGTGGACTTTGACTAGTTCTATACCGTTTCTTTCCGTATTTAAGACTGAAACTCCACACATAGTCACTATGCAATTATAGGCTACTGTTCTCCACACAACCACCTTACAGGAACGAATGAGACATGCTGAAAATTAGGAATCCAAACAGATCAGCAGGACCAGATGGATTTCTCAGCAAAGTACTGAACCTGCTCAGTTTTAACATTTCCCTCACACCACTGTTCCTTTCTGCTTAAAATCTGCCACAGTTATCCCAGTATAGATCCAGATTTGACCAATCCAGAGAAGATTCCATAACTCATTAATGCTGCAATAATTTACCTAGAGAAAATGGGCACATAGTCATTATGACATTTAGAATGATCCATATCAAGGAAGGAAGGAAGGAAGGAAGGAAGGAAGGAAGGAAGGAAGGAAGGAAGGAAGGAAGGAAGGAAGGAAGGAAGGAAGGAAGGAAGGAAGGAAGGAAGGGAAAATAAAATGTTTTTCCATACTTTAAAGCTACAGTGTGTAATTTTCAGCGACATCTAACGTCCAGACTGCAGACCGCAGCAACATGAACATCTCCCCCCCAACAGTACGACGAGCGTTACGGGACAAAATGTCTTCCACAACGTCCGCATCACCTACCTTCTCAAGTGCTGAGGTTTGTTTACATAGATAATTTTACAGATAGTATTTCATTAGTCTGTGTTCTCAGTTCATCTCTCTCAACTTGGCGTAGTTACTTTCGAGAGTAATGGGCGATCTCGCAATCGCTAGTTTGTTGGCTCTGCGCTGCCGTAGCGCAAAGATGTCTGCCTCCATGGCTGCGAAACCCGCTCCTATGTAATTATAAATAATGAATTCTAAGGCAACGCAAATATTAAGGTTAAGAGGCTGAGCTCATAGATGATGATAAATAACATAGCTATGTATAATATATTACATTTCTGACTGTATATCCCTGTAATTATTACACACTGTAGCTTTAAGGCAGTCAACAAGATTTGCTTCAGTTCATCCACAACAGTACAACACTGGCTCTCCACAAAGTATTGTGCTGAGTTGCCTCCTCTAGATGCTGCATGGCCA